TTTGAGAGCGTGTAAATCTACCATCTTTTATCTTATGATGATTGTTGCATGGTATTTTTCCTCCGTCGTGCTGGGTATGTGTACTTGTTGACAATGAAACGGAGTTGTTGCTGTTTTCAACATGAAACTATTTGAAATTCTCTCGGTCATCGCTAATGTTGAAACGAAGGGTCAGCGTGCGTGCAAAGGTAGATTTTGTCGTAAATTTTGTTGTAAATTTTGTTGTAGTGTTGTCGTAGTTTGTTGTAGGTTTGTCGTATTTTGTGGTAGCTTGTCGTAAGTTGTCGTAAGTTGTCGTAAGTTTTCTTAAGTTGTTGTAAATATTTTACGACAAAATTTACGACAAAATTTACGACAAAAGACTTGTCGTTAATTATAGCTCCACTGTTTTGGAGAAATAAAACAATGTTTTACCCTAGATTTTGTTGTAAATTTTGTCGTAAATTTTGTCGTAGTGTTGTCGTAATTTGTTGTAGGTTTGTCGTATTTTGTTGTAGGTTTGTCATATTTTGTGGTAGCTTGTCGTAAGTTGTCATAAATATTTTACGACAAAATTTACGACAAAATTTACGACAAAAGACTTGTCGTTAATTATAGCTCCACTGTTTTGGAGAAATAAAACAATGTTTTGCCCCCTAAATAATTCTATGTCCCCGTAAATGATGGAGGAATTCGATGGAACAAAATGAAGCTTGAATTCGATGCCTCCGTGCTGAGGGGGGGGGGAGTCTGTCTGTCTCCCGTCACAGTTTGGTTTCACTACAATCCGAGGCGTGTCCCAGGGTTTAAGGAATTTTTACAAGGAAGATTCCTTAGTTCCGGGAAAAATTCCTGTTTTTACTGCTATTCCCAAAAGTAAAAAGTCATTAAACCTGGTAAATATCCTAGCTCCATGACATGGACAGGTACAATGTTCCAATTTGTGCAGTTGCGGGGGTCAGGTAAATAATCCCATAAAAGCTCCCGCTCCCCTGTAACTTTCGTCCACAGTGCGTGTGGTGAAGAAGAAAAGCCAATAGCAATCTTGATGCAGAAGAAGAAAGGAGAAGCACCCATGGAGGTGAACAATGAGCAGTGAGGCTTACACTGTTAATTTTTATTTTGTTTAAAACTCAAATTGTTTCTACACCATAAAACTATGTGATTTGGGTCTTGCTTTACACGATAAAAGTCAATTTGCTCTTTTGTGGTAAAAAACAGTGCACGCATGTCATGCCCTTTTCAAAAAAGATTTGGGAACGGATTGACTAATATGACTTCAAAAAATTGGACTTTTTCTGAAGTCATGTCCGCCACTTTGCCAATTCAAGATTAGATGAGGAAATGCCAGAGGATAATCAAGAAAAGCCTCAGATTTTAAGGCACATATCGGATTAATGGGGTTTGCAAATCAGCTCACGACTACCAGCTTCTAAAGAGGTAGACCTCCTGGAACCAAGAATAAGTCAAGTCATTCCGCTGGAGGAGACAGAAGATCTTCCAAGTACAAGAAGCAACAGGCAGCAAAACAAGCAAGAGGACAACAGCACATAGCTGATGCATTTGCCAACGCCAGACGACAGCAATTGGAAACTCCCCAATGGAAATAGCACCCCTTGTCAAAGAATAACTTCGAAGCATCACAAAAGCTGCTTGCCAAAGTGCTTGATCATCCTTCAATGCCCAAAGGAAAATCAGTGCCGACCAGAGGAATCATTGACCAGAGAAGCGACAATTGGGATATCAGCTATGACATTCCATCTACTACCAATGAGAAGACGCCAGTACTACCATGGGAATTTCAATTCTCCCTTGGCGTCTGGCCTTGGAGCAAAACCAGCTCCAGACAAGTTCTATTTGCCAGACATGGTTCGAATCTGGTGTCCAAGGGAACAGTTCCACAGCATAAAGTTCCAGTACACTTGTCCCAGCTGCCAATGCTGCTCAATCATCCAAAAAGAACCAACTTGGAGGCCAGCTTTTGAACAAAATGAGATCCGCTGGGTCTATTGCCACCGCTTGGAATGCAAGAATGATGGTTGTAAAGGGGGCACTTTCAATTCAACCGACCCATCATTCCTTGGTATGCTTCCCACTTGTATTGCAGACAGCTTTGAATTCATCTTTCCCCCTCAAGGACCTGGAGTTTCAAGAGTCATGCTTCGTCGTTTGTCACTGCAAATAGACAATCATGTGCTATTTGGAGCGTGGGTTCGTGAGGTGAATGGTATGATGTGGGAATGGTACTTTCAAAAGTCCAATCAATACCTTGAATTGCTGAACGATTGGCTTGAAAAATGGCCTTCTGTCTCAAGCTATGATGGCAGACCTCCACTGCACTGTACTAGCTACAATGGCAGACCAATAATCCCATACTCGGCATTTGGAGAGGCTGGTCACCACAATGGAATTATGATGACTGAAAACCTCGCCAAAACACTCTTTCGGCTTGTGGAAGGCGGGAAAAGACTGCAATACAACCAGAATTCGTTTGCAGCATGGCAGGATGAAGGCTTGAGAGCTGTGTGACAACATCAGGAAAGAAGAGAGTGAAACCATTTGCTGGCCTACTGACTCTTTTGTCTCAAAAAGAAAAGATAGTGACTGCTGTGTTCAAGTCCAGCATGTCACATGACACAAACACTTGCATTCTTCAAGAGGTAAAGAAAGCGAGAGACCATGTTGGTGCTCCCCCTTTGAGGCTCCTCCAAACTGACAATCCTGAAGGGGAACAAGCTCCTTACTACACCATATTTCCAGAACTGAAAGAGGGTATAGTGGCTAGGTCCTTGTTGCCTTCCATTGAGATACCACAAACTGACATTGCAGTTCTTGATGATGCCACTGCCATCAACCATTACATTTTGACATTTGCTGAATCATTTCCCGGTGATACTGATATTTATTACGGGCTAGATACAGAGTTTGAGAGAGACGGCCAGAAGCTCACAGTTTTATCATTGGCTTTCCCTCAATCAATCATTGGTGTACCAGTGACCATTGTTATTCACCTACACAAGATTGCAAAAAGAGACTTTCCAAATTCTCTGAAGAGGCTGCTGGAGCAGCACAATATGATCCCCACTGGACGTCTGATTGGCGGTGATTGCAAGAAGCTGGAGGACCAATTTGGAGTTCTGATCCAGAGAAGGATGGAGCTGTACAACTTGTGTAGATCTGATAGGGACATTGAACGATATGGACTGAAAGACTTGATGGAAGAGTATCTTCTATGCACATATCCAATGAACAAGTCTGATGCGCAGTTGTCGAGCTATGCAAAGGCTAAACTATCACCTACAGATGTGCAATACTGTGCTCTGGATGCAGTTGTCTCATTATGGGTTTGTCACAGGGCATTGGCATTGTTAGCACAAGGAGGCCAACTTGTTGATCCACATCCAACTTTGCAAGTAGGGAAACACTGCATCGTTACACACAACACAAAGGACATTGCTGCCGGTACTCTTTGGTTTGTTGGAACCAGAGGAGAGCAGAGATCATGAAACAGCAAAACATTAGGTAGGGCGGATTGCGTGGTTGTTATTGAAAGTCTGATTGATGAAGCGTTTGAACCAAAAAGAAGGCATTTATCCTGGCCACAAAAGACACTAGGAGAGCTGAAGAGAAGTCTTCATACTTTTGAACTGGCAGTGAAAGTCAATCAAATCAAGATCCTTTTGGATGACCATCAACCATCTTGCACGCCAGCCATGGTAGGCAATGCGACTGTCCAACCTTTCCAAGTCGACAAGAGCTATCTTGATGGGCTATTACAGGAACACCAGGCCAGCAACAACAGTACACCAATGATGCCAATGCAGGAAATGGACAGTGTTGATATCATTGTCCAGGAGGATGACACTGAGGACAGGGCTGCTGCTGGCCTTGAAGCAGAGATGCACAAGGATAGTGAGACTGGTTTGCTTTTGACAAAGTCAGTGAGGGATCTTTTTCACCAATTTCACAACATACCACTGTCAAAGAAAGCCGATGAAGCTGCACATGTCTGCCAGTTCCTCCTTGCTGCAACTTGGATCAACGATGAGGACGATTATGCAAATGTTGCCGAGGTGGTCCTTAGCAAAGGTGAAACGGATCTTGCTTTCCACGAGTTCTTCCAAAGGGAGTATTGGCGAAAACGAGTCAGACGAAACACACCACTCCCAAAGGATCATGCTAATAACATTTGAGCTGTGCAATATGAAATATGGACCAACAGGGCATTTGAGAGGATTCGCACCAAGCCTTTAGAACAACAGGGCATTTGAGAGGATTTGCACAAAGCCTTTAGAACAATGGTTTAAAAAGTTTGTTGCCAATGCAGAGAATGGCTTGTACTACATACCTCCAGACATGAAATTCTACAGAGTTGACAGAATCGATGCAGATGGATTGAAAATATATCTGACTGACTTCGGAACCAATCTAAATGAGTCTCTACACCAAAAGTATGCTGACCTAGTGGGACCATTTGCAGTGGGAGTCGAAACTGCAGATATACTATTAGTCCTGAGGTCGTTCCGTTTCAACATTGCTGCAGGAA